CAAAATTTGGGCATTGCAGTCATGGAGGTCACGTAAACGGCCGTTACCTGTTTTTTTTTTTTCGTTTTTCATTTAAACACAAAATCGAAAACTGAAAAAACGAATCATTATCCGTTTTTTCATTTTGGTTTTGGAGACAAATAATGAAGGAAATTGTTGTTTTTTCATTTTATTTTTGGTTTTATATTGAAAAACGAATGAAGGAATGATACACGGACTGTTTTGTTCCCTCAGTGTGCTGGACTGACTGGTTTGACCGCGACGACCCCAGCGGAACAGGAGACTGGGAAAATCTGAGCAGTTTGCAAAAACAATATCCGGGAAAAATCTGTAAGAAACCAAAGTACATCGAAGTGGTGACGTGTCGGGCAACGACCCTGCCACCGCGACCGGACAGGACTTCTACATGTAAGTCACCGCACTCTGGACACTTCATACTTTGCAATGAGTACGTTTACATGCACATCAATAACCCGGTTATTAGCCATATCCTGGTTATGTCAGTATTCGTGTTACTGTGTTTACATGCGCACTGAGAAACCGGGACACTCATATCCGCGTGTACATGATCAAATGGAGTGTCCCGGTTTCTTGACATAATCTTACAAATGCGCAGGCGCAAAAATTAACTTAAATCAATTTCATAAACCAGGAAAAATACAAACCGTGAGCTCCTTTAGCATAAGAAGCTAAGGAGCTACGAGATCTCCCACAATCCACTGTGCAGATTCTTCATTAAAATCTTCTGCATAAATAAACTCAACTTTACAACATATAAACCATAAACACTATAGACACATCAGCCCGTTTGATCAGATCATTCAGCTGTGATCACATTTGTTTACGTTTTACAGAAACAAAACTTAAGACCGTTTGGCTAATTAGCATAAACTGTTAGCGGCGATAAAAACAACTCGCTCCTTGTGTTGATGTGAACAGTTTCTTTTGGACTAAATGACACGACTCTGTGGATTATGTGTGTTATTTCTGTGACAGAAGAGGCGCTAATGATGTTAAGTGTGTTCTGTGTGTGTGTTGTACAGGAGATAGTTCATGTTTTAGCTTTTCAGCGTCACACGAGTGCAGGTTTAGCGCAGCTCTTTCATTTCACTCATTTGGTCAATTTATTTATGTAGCTACTGTTGTGGTGAAAAGACTGGAAAGTGTCTTTTGGACACATGTGCACTCAACTTTATGTTGCAGTAACCGGGATACTGCGTTTACACGCCACAAGTAACCTGGTTATTATCGGAATAAACCAGCTACAGTAACCCGGTTTCTAATAACCGGGTTACTGAAACCGGGTTACTGCGTTTACATGCACCATCAAGAAACCGGGATACTCAAAAAACCCAGTCATAACGGGGTTATTGATGTGCATGTAAACACACTCAATGACGTCATGCTGGGACTGTTCTACATGAATGTCCAGCAGAGACTCAATGCAAACTAGTCGTGTGCGTATGTCGTTCAGACTTTCATTAAAAGATCAGACACAGGAGCACTGGGGCCAGAAAATCAGATTTGGATCACTTCAGGCTGCAGTCTGAACGTCGCCTTAGACTCAATCAGACACGAGTCAATATTTTGAGTATTTGTGACTTGATAAAAGATATTTGATGATGCGTCAAGTCAAGGATCCGCACACTCATTCAAACACCAGTGCACGCAGACACTGAAAACTGATGCAATGTGCGATATTTTAATTAACTTTTTGACACGATCATTTCAGTTACAATACAAAACTAGAAAAAAAACTTTAGGAAATCAGATTTGTTTAATTTACATTCTTTATTAAAAACACGTTATAGAAAATATATTGTGCAAACCAACTTTCACCCAAAGCTCCAAACAAACGCGTCTTATTCTCGACTCATTCCTTCACAGGTTTAATCCAACCGAGGGCTTCGTGTGCAAGAACGGCCCGGGTCAGTACTGTAAAGACTACAAAGTGCGCTTCGGCTGCTGCTGCGACTGAGGATCACCGCAGAGACGACGACAGAGACGACGACAGAGACGACGACAGAGACGACGACAGAGACGACGACAGAGACGACCACAGAGACGACCACAGAGACGACGACAGAGACGACGACAGAGACGACGACAGAGATTCTTCAGTGGTGCGACGTCCGTGTTGTTTTGGTCAAACTGAAGAAATAAACAGTAAATTAAAAAAAAAAAGAGTTGATTCTATGTCTCATTCTTCAGCAGATATATTAGGTTAATCGTGTTAGAACCAGTGTCGGGGAGTAACAGATTACAAGTACTGGAGTTATGTAATCAGAGTACAAATTATGAGTAACTGTATTCAGTTACAGTTACTGTTTCAGTGAGTGGTGATTGGATTACAGTTACTTTGTTGAAATAAATGGATTACACAGAGGGATTTTCCTGTTTTCACATTTTGGGCTAAACCAGGACTAAAACCAGGACTAAACTAGGACTAAAACCAGGTCTAAACCAGGTCTAAACCAAGTCTAAGGTCGTTTTCACACCGCTAGTTCGATTATTTGGTCCGCACCAGGAAATAAAATTGTTATTATGTAGCAAATACACTCCAGTCTGGTCCGCGTTCACACCGGCAAACAAACCAAAACTGGTTCGATTGACGTGTCTCTGTTTCCCCGGTAAAACAGCGATACTCCAGTTATCAGCACCGATGATCCTGTTAATACCACGGGCCATCCTCATCTCAAATTATCATCATGAACTCATAAAACAGCAACATGTAGAACTTTGTACAAACTCACCGCATCAGCCCAGAGTTCGGGTAACAGCAGCAGCCAACAGCTCCTCAGGACGGGGCTGGGGTCTGGTCCTTGGTCTGTTACAAGCTCGTTGGTCAGATGGTCCAGAGGCTCTGTCCTCCATGTGCTGGTTCCAAACGGTGGCGAGAAAGACCAGTGCTTGATGGACTGAGTCCGAGCGGGTACGTTCAGTCGTCTGCGCGCTGTTTCCGTGCGGGAAAAGCAAGAATGGAACTGGCGCTGCCCCCGCTGGTTCAGGACTCTGGTTTGGATCTAGTCCGACTGTATTTCTCACTCTAGGCTAAAAACAGGGACTTTTTTAAGTTGTATCAATTGAATGGGCGATTGCCTATTGCCATGAAATTATTTAGTTAATTAAAGCCTAAAATAACAAATGTTGGTTGCTGTGTGATCACGGGGAACACCGGGTCGTCTCTGTGCGTGTAGGTCCTGAACAGGGGTGCGCACCCCCAATTCTGACTCACTCTGGAGCCACACGTTCGCACACTGGTACTTGCTCTGATCTTCGTGTGTTACATTCTCTGTATTGGCCATTGTTGGTAAAATAATTCGAAACTGAATCGCGTCTGCGTCTGGACAACAATCTGTTACTGCGCTGGAGTCGTACAGCGCGTCACTTCAGGCAGAGGAGACGCGTGTCCCTCCCATGATGCATTTCGAATAGTCCGTTTGTCCATACTGTCTATGGTTTGGACCCGGGTTCACGTTCACACCAGAGGAAAGTTGGTCATTTGGTGCGGATTCAAGCGAACCGAGACCACCTCTTTTTTGAGGTCTCGGTCCGCTTGATTTGGTTCGGGTCCGAGTCTGATTGACGCTTTCACACCAACGCAAACGAACCGAACTAACCACTTTTGGTTCGAATGGACCGTTTGGTGCACCAAATACTGTCGGTGTGAAAACACCCTAAAACCACGTCTAAACCAGGACTAAACCAGGACTAAACTAGCACTAAACCAAGTCTAAAATCAGGACTAAACTAGTACTAAAACCAGGTCTAAACCCAGAACGAAACCAAGTCTAAAACCAGGTCTAAACCAGGACTAAACCAGGACTAAACTAGGACTAAAACCAGGTCTAAACCAGGTCTAAACCAGAACTAAACCAAGTCTAAAATCAGGACTAAACTAGGACTAAAACCAGGTCTAAACCAGGACTAAACCAGGACTAAACTAGGACTAAAACCAGGTCTAAACCAGGACTAAACCAGGTCTAAACCAGGACTAAAACCAAAACTAAACCAAGTCTAAAACCAGGACTAAACCAGAACTAAACCAAGTCTAAAACCAGGTCTAAACCAGGACTAAACCAGGACTAAACTAGGACTAAACCAAGTCTAAAATCAGGACTAAACTAGGACTAAAACCAGGTCTAAACCAGGTCTAAACCCAGAACGAAACCAAGTCTAAAACCAGGTCTAAACCAGGACTAAACCAGGATTAAACTAGGACTAAAACCAGGTCTAAACCAGGTCTAAACCAGAACTAAACCAAGTCTAAAATCAGGACTAAACTAGGACTAAAACCAGGTCTAAACCAGGACTAAACCAGGTCTAAACCAGGACTAAAACCAAAACTAAACCAAGTCTAAAATCAGGACTAAAGTAGAACTAAAACCAGGTCTAAACCAGGATTTAACAGGACTAAATCCTGCTGTGTGGACGTGTCTCTTCTTCTTCTATCAATAATATTTTTAATTTGGTTCAGTAAAGTCTGGGCTGTTTATTTTTGTTTGTCAGACAAAACATCTTATGTTACAATATCCTGGTCTTTGCTTCTCTACAGCAAATCAAGTAATCCAAAGTAATCAGATTACATTACTCACTTTAAGTAATTTAATGGATTATGTTACAAACTACATTTTGGGGCATGTAATCTGTAATCTGTAGGGGATTACATTTTAAAAGTCACCTTCCCAATGCTAGTTGTTGTACAGTTGTAGGGAGTATTATCTGTTACATAAGGTGAGTTGTACAGTTGTAGGGAGTATTATCTGTTACATAAGGGTGAGTCGTTGTACAGTTGTAGGGAGTATTATCTGTTACATAAGGGTGAGTTGTAGCAGTTGTAGGGAGTATTATCTGTTATATAAGGGTGAATTGTACAGTTGTAGGGAGTATTATATCTCCTCTCCTTTTTGATGAGTCGATGAGGTTATTTTGAGTGTGTCCAGTAGGGGGCAGCAGGAACAACAGGTGAACAGGTGTGTGTCTGAAATCAGTTAAATAGGCGCAGGTGTGCAGACACAAACCAAACCAAACCGAGGAGTGTGAGGAGGAACAGAGACGCACCGGTGAGTGAATTAACCTGTAAAATTAGTTTTTTAAATTTACTTAAAATGGTAAAATGGTGTTGGAACCCGTATAGAAGTAATGTCTTTAATTTACATGTAAAATGATTCTTCTATTTAATTTAAATGTAATAAGTGTAAAGAGAAGCTGAGGTTAAAATTGAATACAACTGGCTGATTTATTTTATGAAAGTAAATTAGTAAATAAATTCAATTTTAAGTTTTAAAATGTTAAATAAAGCTAAACTGAGTAACTAAATCATTTGATAATTTGATTATTTAAATATAAAGTAAAAAATCTGATTTAAGGTAAATGGAGTAAAATGTAAGTTAAAGGAGCATTAATTAAAAATATATTTGGCAGGTAAACAATTTATAAATTTATTAAAATGTGTCTTAAAGTAAAATATTACATTTATTTCGTATAGTCATTTAAAATTGTTTAAAAAATAACTTATATTTAGGATTAAAAATGTATTGGTGAAATGAGACATTGGTTAAAATTGTAGCTATTTAAGTTAATGTGTGAAATGTATCTTAATATATATAATATTATTATATATAAATAGTAAATATAATAATTGAAGTATATTAATTAAAATTCAAATGGATTATATTAATCAAATTGTGAAATGTAAATTTTATTTCATTACGCATATTTAATTGTAGTAGTCGTGAACAGTTCCAATAAAAGTTGAGCCTTGTGTCTTTTTCCCTGGTTTTTAAAGTTGGACCTGCATTTCGTAATAAAAGACTTGACCGTTGTAGGGAGTATTATCCGTACCCCTGCAAAACCTCTTTAAAACGTGAACAAATGTGTCAAAGCTGCATTAAACTCATTATAATCTCACTCGGGCTGATTGGCTCTAGATTGATTTATGGTTTATATGTTGTAAAGTTGAGTTTATTTATGCAGATTAATTATTACTAAATTGAAATTATAAATTGAGAATCGATTTGTTAATTCTCCTGACGATTTAAGAAAATTTAATCGAATAACCATGTCTAGTCTGTGGTTTTTGATAGTTTTGACTAAACTAATTTGTTCTTTTGTTTTTCTCAAAGGTTTGACTTCTATCTGCTACAATGAGGAATCTGGTGCGTATGGAGAAGAGTTTCACAGTAAAATGAACAGGCTGTGCTAATACTGTCTGTGTTTTTGACCCACAGTTGGGACTTGTTGTCATCGCAGGACTCATTTCTGGTACGTCACGTTACTTTTTCTGACTGGAGTTGCAGTTGAAGCAGATATAAGAATTGTAATTGAAGCTACGACTCCGAGATTTATGTAACTTTTTCTGCAAAATAAGGCTTCCTGTGGTGATTACTGCAAGTCAATGCAGTAATGTACTTCAAGGAAATGTGAACAAAGATGACTCCTCGAAGCAGGATTCTGGTCATGTCTTGTGATAGACTTTTTGCGTCAGTACAACCGTGTAATGTTTTAATACACTGGTTCCCTCGTTTATCGCAGGGTTTACGTTCTAAAAGTAAACTGCAATAGGCGAAATCCACGAAGTAGTCAGCTTTTATTTTTGACAATTATTAAATCTGTTAAGGCTGTAAAACCCTAGCTGGTTTCACTTCGTGGAAACCGTCAGACCATTAGGATTCGTTTGCTCAGCAGTAGGCAGGTGCTTTTTTTAAAATTTAACCAACCGCTGCTGTTTGGTCGTAACGTATGTCCACTAACGAGGATACATTTTTCCAAATCCTATAGGAAGAATGACAATAACGTTTTTCCCCTTGATAAAATTTAAATCCTCGTTGCCAATACAGAATGTCTGGGTCTTTACTGATTGGCTGGTGCCCGAACTCGCACTTCAGGGATTCTTGCGAACTGTCGAGTGCAGCGGTGTCGAACTCATTTTGGTCCGGGGGCCGTATCCAACCGACTTTGATCCCAAAGGGGCCGGATCAGAAAACTCATGTCATATAAACCCCAAAAATAACAAGTTCAAATATTTGTGCAGAGAAACACAAATCAATTACAGAGCTACAGAATATTATGAACAACCTGAAACTTTAAGAGAAATTTAATTTCAACACAATGTTTTAACATGAACTTGTATGTAAATAGGAGTAAGTCAGTTTTTGTTGTAAAATCCTGCACTCTGCTCCACTTTTCTCATGTTGGACATTTTTCTGATGAGGGTGTCACGGTCAACAGTCAAAACGATCGTCCTTTAAGAGCGTTTGGAAAGAGACAAGTCTTTTGTGCTGCTCTGGTGGGAGGGGCCACGTACAGAGACGCTGGAGACGCTGCTGTGATAAACACCACAGAAAATTCACAAGATTTTAATAAAAATAAAATATTTGAGTAGAAAATCAGCCGAGGGCCAGATTAAAGGTCTTGGAGGGCCGGATCTAGCCCCCGGGCCGCATGTTTGACACCTGTGGTTTAGTGTGTTGATTCCTGACCTAGTCACTGGAGAGATTAAATTACACTGAGGCACTAGGTGGCGCCAGCCTAACTAATTGCGTCCTACAGTCACATAACTTCTACCTTCCTTCAGCGCGTCCAGAAGTCCAACTTTTTGTGCGACGGTTACATCTTCCTGTCTTTTGGGTGCGACCGCAGGAGCCTTTATCGGTGCAGAAAGTTTCATCGTTGTGGGTTTTGTCGGGGGGGAAAACTTGCAAACACACAGCACTTCAGAATCACACTACTAGAGATTCAACATTTATGTAAATTTGTCAAACTGAACACAGGAGTTGATTTATGGTCTACAGTCCCTTAGCCAATCGAAATGGCACAAAAAAAAATCAGTGTTATGTTGAGGTTCGACTGTACTTCCATAAATTTAGATTTGCATAACAAGCACATTACTGTTACAGCTGGGAGCCTCCAACCCACCGAACCATTACGTGAGTATTTCCAGTAGATTAACTTTGTAGGAAGCTAATTTTGATTATAAATGTAATTACTGTCTCTATTTTAGCACTTGCCATCAAAAAACCTGTTAACGAACGTAAGTGTGAACACGTTTTCTTTCTTTTTTAAGTTGGTCTTTTATATAAATCCGCACACGCAGTAGCTGTTGTGTTTTGGCGCAGGCTGTTGGACCGAGTGGTTCGACAGGGACAACCCTTCAGGGACGGGAGACTGGGAGCTGCTGACTCAGCTGCGTAAAAAGTATCCAGGAAAAATCTGTGACAAACCCGTGGACATCGAGGCCAGGACTTGGTCTGGAAAAACCCCGGCCGCCGCAGGAGACACGGTCGAGTGAGTCTCCCACCAACACTCTAGAAAACTACAGTTCTCTAGATCATTCCAGACTTATCCAAACTTAACATAATTTAAAAGTCACACACTTTGGCGACCCAAGTCTATAGACATTATTTGTAAATCACAAAATAAAGGTGGATTATTGAGGATATTTTATTGTTGACGGTGATCGTGTCTCTGAACAATTAGAATTACTCAAGTTTTAAACAATGAAAAACAATCACTGAAGCAGCAATAAAAGGATCCATAAGTCAATATTTGGACATTAAATGTTGCCCATTTTATTCTTTTCAACATTCAACTGAACCAGCGACACTTGTTGGTTCAGTTGTCTCCTGCGCAGTGTCTTCGCCTCTTTTACTACATGATCAGTAGATGTGAAAGGACTTTTCCCTTACAGTCCTGAGGCTCTGACTCAAATCCAGAGAACTCGATGCCAGTGTCAGACGTGGCTGCATTTTGGGGCATCCAGAATTGGTCAAACGGTTTCTGGGAGTTTTTACTGAACAACAAAAGCGGAGGAAGAAAGTGTTTTTGTACTTTATCTGTAGATCCTTCAGTTGCTGTCTTTTGTCCCCATCTCTTATCCAGCAGAGCAGAGTCTGAACTTTGGGCAGCTCGTCGTGACAATCTTTGTTGTCCAGCACAAGTGATAAAAGTTTGGATGGACTGAACCAAAACAATGTCCTAAATATGTTAAATGTATCAAGTTAACACCCCAAAGAAGTAAAATGCCCCCATAGTAACTACACAAGTCTTTAGTAAGAAGAACTCCTTATGCAAGTTGTTATAAATAAGCCTTAAAGTTCTTATTAAACTTTGTTCATTGTGAGTTAAGTCTTTTTTTTAATTAAGGTGTAGTTATTATAAAGTGCTGCCAAGAGCTGATTTTACCTTCTGTCAAATGTGTTTTTAATTTTCAGGATGGACAAAGATAAAGGGTTCGTCTGCAAAAACAAAGACCAAAAAGACAAACGCTGCAACGACTACCGCGTTCGCTTCAGCTGCTACTCCCCCTACTGCGCAGAAGAAGGTACTGCACGCCGACGCAATCTGATTAACAGTGAATGAGTGAAAGTTTTGAATCCGTGTGTCTGTCGTTCATTTGTTTCAATATAAGAAAATGAGAAGTTTTCTTATGTGTCTCCAAAATTAAAAACGATAATGATTAGTTTTTTCAGTTTTCGATTTTGTGTCTAAAGAATGGAAAAGAGGATAACTGCCGTTTCCCATTTACGTGACTACGATGCCGAACTTTTCCGCTGCGTGCGGGCTGAACCAGGACTGATCCAGGTGCGGGACCAGGCCGGGAATGAGACGGAGACCGGGTCTGGTCCAGGTCTCATTCCCGGTGTCAGTCTTGGAGGTTCAGAGCCCACAGCAGGGCCGGAGCTCGAAGCTGAGGCTCGAGTCCCGGTCTGGTCCCGGACCTGGATCAGTCCTGGTTCAGTCCGTATGCAGTGCAAAAGTTCGGCATTGCAGTCACGGAGGTCACGTAAACGGCCGTTATCAGGTTTTTTCATTTAAACACACAATCGAAAACTGAAAAAATCATCGTTTTGGTTTTGAGACATGATGAAGAAAATAGTTTTCATTTTATTTTTGGTTTTATATTGGAAAAACGAATGAACGTATGATACATGTACTGTTTTTGTTTTTTTTCCTCAGTGTGCTGGACTGGCTGGTTTGACCGCGACGACCCCAGTGGAACAGGAGACTGGGAAACTCTGAGCAGTTTGCAAAAACAATATCCGGGAAAAATCTGTAAGAAACCCAAGTACATCGAAGTGGTGACCGTGTCGGGCAACGTCCCTGCCACCGCGACCGGACAGGACTTCTACATGTAAGTCACCGCACTCTGGACACTTCATACTTTGCCATGAGAACAAGTGCTCACCCCTAGGTACATTTTTGTGCATCTAAACTTTGCTTTTTTTTTTTGCATAATTTGGCTATACTACACCAAAATTTGCCAGTTTGTGAATTTTATTTTTTTTTTAAAGATCACATTAAACAGTCTATGATCAAAATACATACACCTGTGGTCCTTTAGATGCATTTTTTTTCCCATTGACTTTATATTTTTAACTTTGGTTTTCAACACCAAAGAATGAAAAAAAATCTTTTTTTTTCTGTTAGTGTCTTTTTGAATAATTTGATATTTTTCTATGTACAGTGTATTAAGGTGCATCGTTTGCCCCAATGTAAGAAATTCAACTTTTAAAACCCAATTTTAAAATGTGACAAAAACCAGATTCTTTTAATTGGTTTTATTTGCTCAATTGAAATAAATCTACTGGGTTCACCAAGACTCTTAAATTCCATCCTAACAGTGTCCATAAAGGCAGAAAAAGCTGTTTTTCCTTATTAACCTTAAAAATAATCTATTTAAGGCCATAGTGTCACTGAAAGTTGAATATAACTGTTATTATTTTCCAGTGTTGGGAGTGTTACTTTTAAAATGTAATCCCCTACAGATTACATATCCCAAAATGTAGTTTGTAACATAATTCATTATATTACTCGCCTTAAGTAATGTAATCTGAATACTTTGGATTACTTGAAGACGAGGAAATCTTCACATAAGATGTTTTGTCTGATAAAAGAAAATAAAAAGCCCAGACTTTACTGAACCAAATTAAAAATATTGATAAAGGAGACAAAAAGGGTTTAGCCCAAAACAGGAAAATATCAGTGTAATCCATTTATTTCAACAAAGTAACTGTAATCCAATTACCACTAACTGAATAGTTATAATTTGTACTGATTACGTAACTGCAGTACATGTAATCTGTTACTCCCCAACACAATCAGTCTTCATGAATCTCTAGGATATGACAATTTTTGTGAAGATTGAGTTTTTTTTCATATTTATCCAATATCCACAAAGACCAAAAATGAAGAGACAATTTTTTTTTTTCTGTAATGATCATAGACTGTATAAAGTGGAGTGAGTGACGTCACCAGAGCGTCCCAGGTTTCCAGAAAGGATAAGAATGTTAAAGAAAAACAGATTTTTCAGTTCAGATTTAAGGCTTGTGCACTAAACTTCAGAGGCTTCGTGGACCCAGTAAACGTCAGAGAATTTCATCCGATTTCTCATGGAACTTTACTTTGGCAAGTGTAAAAAGATACTCGGTACAGACTGATTTTCAAAAATGTTTCAAAAACTTGGGCGGATGATTCACCCTACAGTGCATCTTCATTACAAGTTAAATCCATAGACGTTTGTACATATGAGTCGACACTGAAGTCCAGACACAGATATTTGAGGTTAAAATGATCTGGATGTGTCCTAGAGGAGTCCTGACTTGATAAAATGAACTTTATCAGATCATCAAATATCTTATCAAGGATCCACACACATTCAAACACCAGTGCACGCAGACACAGAAAAATGATGCAATGTCGATATTAGTGATATTTTAATACATACAAAACTTGAGGAAAATCAGATTTGTTTAATTCTTTATAAAAAACATATTATAGAAAATGTAACTCTACTCTTAATCACTGCAAACCAACTTCACCCAAAGCTCCAAACAAACGCGCCTTATTCTTGATTTATTCCTTCACAGGTTTAATCCAACCGAGGGCTTCGTGTGCAAGAAAAGCAACCATCAGGACTGTAAAGACTACAAGGTGCGCTTCGGCTGCTGCTGCGACTGAGGACCACCACAGACTGGATGTTCTTCGGTGGTGTGATGTCCATGTTTTGGTCAAACTGGAGAAGAAATAAACGGCTAATTTTAAAAAAAGTGTTGATTCTGTGTCTCATTCTTGAGCAGATATATTAGGTTAATCGTGTTATAACAGAGCCTCATGTATGTTTGAGTAGCACTGGATCGTCCTGCATTTGAGGATCAATTTGTCACATTCCCCTTATCTCTGCTGCTCTGTACTTGGTTATAAATATTTCAAAAGTAAAAAAACTGAAGTGATACTTGTAAAATTCTAAAATGTCACTGTCCTCGTCTGTTGAACGGGACAATCCAGGAGTCAAGAATCAATAAAATGTAACTCGGTTAGATAAAGATTATAACATGTTAAAGCACAGGTGTCAAACATACGGCCCGGGGGCCAGATCCGGCCCTCCAAGACCTTAATCTGGCCTCGGCTGATCTACTAATGTTTTATATTTTCTATTAAATCTTGTTAATTTTGTGGTGTTTATCACAGCAGCGTCTCCAGCGTCTCTGTACGTGGCCCCTCCCACCAGAGCAGCACAAATGAAGACTTGTCTCTTTCCAAACGCTCTTAAAGGACGATCGTTTTGACTGTTGACCGTGACACCCTCATCAGAAAATGTCCAACATGAGAAAAGTGGGAGCCGAGTGCAGGATTTTAACAAGAAAAAATTGACTTATTCCTGTTTACATACAAGTTCATGTTAAAACATTGTGTTGAAATGTAATTTTTCTTAGTTTCAGGTTGTCATAATATAAATTCTGTAAAAGAGTTCATCATTAAAAGATTTCTGTAATAGATTTGCGTTTCTCTGCACAAATATTTGAACTTATTGTTATTTTTGGGGTTTATATGTCATGAGTTTTCTGATCCGGCCTTTGGGATCAAGTCTGTTGGATACGGCCCCCGAAAACAAAATGAGTTTGACACACTGATTTAACGGTTAATACAAGTTGTTACGTCTGCCAAGGAGGTTATGTTTTTGCCGCATTTGTTTGTTTGTCTGTTTGTTTGTCTGTTAGCAACATAACTCAAAAAGTTATGGACCGATTTTGAGAAATTTTCAGGATTTGTTGGAATGTGAAAAGGAAGAACTGATTTCATTTTGGGGCTGATCCGGAAGAAATCCTGGATTCTGGATCACTTTGAAATTTTAGTTAACATTGTGGTAAATGGGGCCAAAAATTTAGTTTCTCAATATCTGGTTAATTATTGACCAAAACCCATGAAATTTGACTCAGGATGGACAATGGGATCCTCTTTCATATTCCAAAGGCTGATCCGGATCTGATCCACAAGACTGATTTTATCGCAATTTATATACAAAATGGGGAGTCCCTGGCGGAGGTCTGCGCTCTCTGACTGCTTTTCTAGTTTTAAAATGTTTTGGACCATGTGGATCTTTTCTACCACGGTTCATGAGTTGTCTGCAAGTCTCCATGTGTCCACTGGGGGGCAGTAAGAGTCCTGTGATGTGCAGAGTGTAAAATAAAAGGACGAGTCTGGAGTCAATCAGCCAAGATCACAAAAAAAGGATTTCACCTGAGGAAAAATGGAGTAAGTTTAGCAAGAATCACAATTAAACAAGACATATAACGCTCGTGTTTGCTCTGT